GTCTGTTCAAGAAGCCAGATCGGCGGTAAGTGGGGGATAGTCAGAGTTTATCTTGTGTGCGAGAAGACATCTGCCATGACAGTGATGAGTGTCAGTGACAAATGTGCACATTAAAGACAGTTCAGGAGAAGATGGATGTTAAACGGCAATACGTCAGCATCTAAATGATGTAGAGTGGTGGGTGGAGTATTTGTCACAAAATGGCTGGATTACAATTCATGCGGGGCAGCGGTGAAACTGTTTTCCATCATGTTCAATCTTGCCAAATAGAGAACAAAACAGGACAGGAAATGAAGCTGTAACATCTCTGCTTCTGTGTTTAACAAGTTGCTATGTCACTGTATATCATATTTTCTCTCAGATAACCTTGATGATCATGTTGTTCAAAGACAACTTTTGCATTTCTAATGATTGCTGGCTGCAGGATTGAAAGCAGGCTGCCCTTGAATAACAATGCCAGTCCTGTCAACATCCTCTGCATGCACTGAATGTTTGATACACCTATCACATGAGGTTATACATGCAATCCAAGGGCAGGAATTTACAGCCTGTTAAATGTATTGAAAAACCTCAGGAGCAAGACCAAGGCCATGTGCCTCGATTCACTCAGGAGACTTATAGGTGATGTGATAATAATGAGTGCCTCTGGGTGTCCTCGTGTGTGTATAGTGTTCAGTATTCATTGGTTGTTACCGCTCCTGTTGCCCTCACCGACAGCTTCCTCTGAGACGGCCTCTGGCTGCAGGTTATGGCAGGGCTGCGTGTTCTCAGGGCACACTCTCATACATGCCATGCATTCCTAATTCTGAGAGCGCATGTGGGACACTTGCAGTAAAAAGAAAAGGAAACCATCATCACAATTTGATGACCAGTGTCTTTGTTATTGAGCTATAATGTGTTCATGTTGAATTTGGTGTGTCAAAACCCTCAACATCTGCTCACAACAAAAGCTGAGACATTGGCTGCATGTCTTTGCTTCGTTTCTCTTCAGCCAATGGTGCAGATGAATCGCAGTATTATAAAGGCTCCTGGGATATAAATGGTGGCCCGTCGCCTAGCCTTGCAGTGACTCACAGGATTGGGCACGTTCCAACCATAGTCGGGCAGAATGAGTTTCTCAGAAATCTAAAGGGCTTTATTTCCTGAAAAGACTGCGTAGGTCACAGTGTGGCACTGGCCAAGCTATGAGTTACAGATACTAATTGCTTATGTTCTTTGAAAATGTCTGAAACTTGCTAGGATTATTGTTGGAGCAATATTTAAACTGTAAATGGAGCTGGCAGAAAGACTATGCACATTCTAGTTTACACTGTCTTCTTACAACATGTGGCTTATTAGGTATGTTTTACTTGTACCGTGAATGAAGCGCCCCACTGTCTGTAGTTTCTTTCTGTGCATCTCAGCAGAGCCAAAGGCAATCAGTGTGACTTCCCCTTCCTAAGTGGGACTATCACAGCAGGGTAAGGTAATTCACCAGCCTCTCATCGCCAGAGCAGAGCTTGATATTAAACCTGGCAGCTGTACTGTCACAGTACGAAATCTGAGACGACAGGCACTATGGGGCCTAATGCACAGTCAATGTGCTTTCTGCTTAGGCTTGTTAGGCCTACAAAAAGTCAGCCTTTCCACTCTAATTATTTTGTTACACAACGGAACACTCCAAAAATGTGGTACAACATAGTTTGCTCGACAAAGAGTCTGAAAGATGCAGGCTTTTGGTCATTTGATGTGCGTGTTTAATGTTTCTGTGTGGTGTGACCTTTAGGAAATTGGCAAAACATGTCTTGAAATCCATAATTCAATATTATCCAATAATTGTATATTTAGAGTCATGCAATCAACCACATTTAATGGCTACTATTATCTGCGGACCCACTCAGCGGGGAATTTCAGCGGGTAATATTCTACATGTTGTTGGTGCTTTGGAAGAAAACAATGTTGTGCAACAGAGGCTCTCTAATAGAAATGTAATTGGATTATTATCAGTATTGGATCAGATAATCGTAAAAGCAAAATGGAACGTAATATGACAGCTAAGAGGCGCCGAGCAATTATATTAAAGCTATTAAAACCTGCATGAACGCCTCACTGAAAACAAAATCTATTGCTCAAAGAGCTGCCAATACTCAGTGGAAATTCCGGTGAAAAGAAAGATAACAGCAGTTATGTGTTTTCCCAGAGGTCGGTTTCTACTACAAATGGTTGATAACAGTCTGCAGAATGCTCATTAATGTTGCCTCACATGTTGCAAGGTACAAGTTCAATGTGAATATGAAGATGTCATACAAAAAGAGAACAGTGCTTTATGTTTTGTGTAGGTCTTGTATGCCCTCCAAATCAAGGATATTGAAACTGTATACTATATGTGGTGGTACAATCTGTGTTACCCAGAAATGTCCTAAATTGCTTTGTTGCTATTCCACACATTAGGGTGATCTAGAATTTGATAAACAACTAAACTAAAAAAACAAGCCTTACGCTAAAAACATGTGAAAAGTGTTAATGAATAAATAAAAGAATGAGTCTAGATTGCCCATTGAGAATTTTCCATAATTGTCCAAGCCATAAAAACAACCTGGATTTTTATTTTTATGTCTGAAGGCAGGAAAAGGTGACGGAAAATTCCGTCGGTAACACTGTGTCCAGGAACAGCCTATAGTCATTATCGTCCCCAACGGGCCGGTGTATTCTGCATGTCTACCAGTAGAGACCGATAGAGGTCAGACATAGACTGAGGGGAAATGTACCGGGAGAGCATGGAAAAGTACATTTGCAGAGTACCGTGTGCAGCATACAGACAGTAACGAACAACAGTAAAGGAACAAATGTATTTGATTGCCACAACAGTGTAAGTACTAAGCATAGTTTGCAAACGTTTTCTGAGTTATGAAACTGTACACCAGGCAAATACAAAACTATTAATCTAATCCTTTTAGATTGCACACAATCGCTTCTATGACAAGTTAATTGATTCCCGTGAACATCAGATGATACAAATGATTGCAGCATGCATAATCTCGGTTGACATATTGACTTGACCTATTCATGCAGACCATGTAATTACATTTGTATTGGAGGTTGTTATGATGTTGTTTGTTGCATCGAATATGTTTTACGTTTTGTGTATTAACCGTTAACTGCAGAACCCAATGTGGCAGAGGAAAAGTTCAGAAGCAGGGCATAAGGGATGGTGCGTTCAAATGCTCCCCGTCAACTCGTTCTTTCAAGCCTCGATGTTGTTTACCAATAGTATATTTTATGCAACTTCATGGTATCGTTGTCATGGCCTGAAACAAATGGAAAGATACTTAGAGTTGACTGTTAACACTTTATATTATATGTTTTGTAATTATTATTAATAATTCTTTATTTTGTTGTCTTGATTAGTTGTTGATCAATCCTCGGCTGTCAATCAAACCCTTATATCTAGAAATAGATCAATATAATATATATCTCATTTTAGAAATATCCCTTTTTATATGTATAATCTGTAGTATTTGTTAGCACAGTGATGGAAACTCTATTTTAAATAAGATTTTAATTAATGACAATAGTTCCGAATAAAAGTTTCAATTAAAGTAAAAGCATAAAGCTCAAGTAATGGCAGTACTCTTGTAGCATCTGAGTTGTGTGTCAACAACATATATGGTCAAATCAAACGCCCACACTATTATTCACTCTTCAAACAAAGCAGTTCTCTTAAAATGAATGCATTAAATTAGTTGTAGGTTGTATATTCTATTGCATTAAATGATATGGTTTTACATGTATGTGTTAGGCTACATGTAATCTGTTTTCTGCATTATATCATAAGCACAATAGAAAAATCACCTCTAGTAGCCTACACAGAGTAAAAGTAAAATAAAGTAAAAGTCTCCAAATAACCAAATGTTTCTAGAATCACCCTTTTGAATACTAGAGGAACATAAATAAACTAATCTTAATTTATGTTAATCTCCCCATGGATTTGTGTGAGAAGTTAATGTGGCATGTGTTTATAAAGGTCCGGGTCCTGAATATAGTTTTTCCTACGGCACACAAAGGCACCTTACTATCCGACCCGCCAACCCTGACTAAAATATGCACGCGTCAGATGACGTCAGATGGCAAGTCATACAAATATCAGCCGCTGGCAGAAATAGCATCAGACAGTCGCTTGTTTTCACCGGCGAAGCTCACACCCGACACAGCACAGCACTGCGCCTAAACAGCAGCAGCAGCAAGTTAGTGCATCGATACTATAGACGAAACTATTCCGGATATCACTTAGGTGACCAACCAGTTGCAAACCTGGCGAGAAGCGTAATCCAAACGAGTCTGGTACTCAACATGAGCACGGAGATGTTCAGTAAAACCGACATGGAGGTGGCCGTGTATCAGCTGCACAACTTCTCCATCTCCTTCTTCTCCTCGTTTGTGGGAGGAGATGTTGTATCAGTCAAACTTGACAACAGGTAAATATCTGACACAGCCGCAATAACTTAGAGAATACATTATTTATAATGAATGCGTTAGATTAGTTATAAATCGGATAATTAACTTACTCGAACTTTACTGCAGGCCTCCAACTAACGTTACTGTATTTTCATAAAGCGGATCAAAACACATCGTGTGCAATGTGTGATGAAGTTTTTATTTACAAAATGCCTTAATGCCGTGTGCCCAAATATATTTCTCTATGCTGCTGTTTGTTTGGACTTTGAACATATTTTTGCCAAACTACTGTCTCACTGAGACACCTAACAATATGTGTGCTCGTTATCACCTAAACAGCTATTTTACCCTCAAAGCAATACACTTGCAGTTTATATTAAAAACAAATATAATAATACATACAAATGAATTTCATGGAAGCAGGTTGAACAGTTTTCCTTTCGGTTTTGCACACTTTCTGTTTTACTCCCAGAGGCCTGCTATCTGGGTGAAGCAGCAACATTTCTTTGTTTTGAGTGTTTTCAATGAACTTTTCATTTATGGCTCTTTTTTTTCTCTCTCTGCAGTGCCTCTGGTGCTAGCGTTGTGGCCATCGACAACAAGATTGAACAGGCGATGGTAAGCCCAGATAACAAACACAAACACTTGAGAATGGGTTGAAATATACTATACAATAACAATACATGTGTATATTTTGTGTTCGAATCCTAGTTCATAGATTGGATTTTGTCCTGAAAGAAACTGTTATGTTTATCACCATATACAGTATAGAGCAGTTATAATACGTGCTATACATTCTGCACAAAAGCAGCACTTGTTGAATGCTCTAGAAGTCCCTCTTATGTGAAGGCATTGAGAATACTGTTTATTATATTAAAATGACAGAAAACGAGTGCAGAAAATGACAGCAATAAGTAAAAAAAACAACAACCGATTGATTACATTGTTGCAGCACCAAATAATTAAAAACACTCTTGATTCACAAAAGAGATGTATGCCAGTAAATGAAAAAATATGATATACAGAAATCCTCTGACAGCAAACGCCATATATTTTTAGCATGGATTACCTGCAAAGCCAATTACATCAGCCTCAACATTTTCCCATGTTTTTATATCAAAACTGATCGAACTATTTTTCTCTATTATGACAGGATCTTGTCAAGAACCACCTCATGTATGCGGTGCGAGAGGAGGTGGAGGTCCTCAAAGAGCAGATCAAAGAGCTGGCGGAGAAGAACAACCAGCTGGAGCGGGAGAACTACCTTCTGAAGAACCTGGCCAGTCCAGAGCAGATGGAGAAGTTCCAGTCCCGCATCCCCACAGACGTGCTGCTACCGCTGGACAACCTGAGCGCCCAGCTGACCCCAGACCAGCATCTGCCCTGTACTCGCATCGCTGGCTCTGCTGTATAAGTGGCTCTGCTTTGGGGCGGGCAGAGCCACCGTCTCTTTACAATAATGGACCTCCATTTGAACCTAATCGTTAAGAAATTACTGCCACCGACAACCCTTCGTGAAAATGAAGGGCGAAGCACCGGGGTTGTAAACGATCGATGGGACACAAAAGGACACTGATAAGCACAACACAGAACTTGAGATGCTCTGTCTGGTGTGCCAGTCAGGCCCGCTCTCTGATACCGTCAAACTCTTTGTCGTAGTCTCTCTGTGTAGACAAAAGTGCTAAGAATAGAGAGGGCTGACGCTTGCTTTCAGACAGCAGGGGGGCTTTCCCTGCCTAGCCGAAACCCTTCCAACAAACACCCTTTGCGCTAGCAATTGGGAGTGAAGAGGTGTGGATTGGGCTAGCCCTGCAGGTGCTAACTTGAAAAGGTGTTGGGGAAGAGACCCAACCTGAGACGCTCCTCCATGTGTCAACAAGAAGAGCCACATCAGGTGGATTCAGATCTAAAAAAACACAAGTTTGAAGGACTCCCAACCGCACATTTCAGCCCCTTAACAGGGACCTTTCCTGTGCCTAAAATGTATTGCTCATGTATTCATGTACATCTAAGCATAACAAGAAAAATCAACAGGATAAGCTAAGAGGTGGAGGTTAATGCAGTATAGCCTGTTAGAGCTGGTGGACCGCTGCAGTACACTGAATATACTGTAATAATTCATGCAATGTAATCTTGTATTGCCTGCAGTTGGGGCTTGCTGCTTATGGGGGAAATTAATTCTGCAATATCTTCTGTTTTTGTTTGTGATTCCGAACAAAAATCAGTGGTTTCTAAAAAGGCACTGTACAGATTTATTTTGTAATACTGGGGGGACAGGAATATCTGCCCACCATGTACGCCTAGCTCTTCACAGCAAAAGATAAATGTAACTGCAATGTACCTAAAGTTGAAACGTCCAGGAGGAAGAGTAGTGGAGATGGTGAGCAACCAGAAGAGCCAGCAGATGCTCTCCTGATTTTAGCAGCGTCGTCCAGTATCTGGTCTGTTTCTCGCTCAGATGCCAACTTGAAAACAATGGCATGACAACAGTGCCTGTTCGTAGTAAGAGAGGAACACATTTCCTCAAAGAGCTCTGTTATTGTTGTTTTCTAGCTACCAAAGACTTTTTGCCTTCTTTTTTTTTGTCTTGCAACAACAGAAGCCAAGCAACCAGGACCATGTGTACAACGTCACAGGGAGAAGTGTTGTTTGTACCTAATGCTAAAGTCTATACGTGTTTTGTAAAGATAACGGTATTGTTGCTGTAAAGTATCCTGAAAAAGTTGTTCACTATGGTGTTTGGATACAACTGCACATTTGCAATAAAACTTGTGTTTACATAATACAATACGTTGACGCACTGTCTTTTTGCTCCTCAACTGTGCCCACATAGTGTGTGTGGTCCAAAGAAATGAAAGCTTTATGATGTGTATGTTACAACATTACAAACTGTGCAGGAAAGACCTTCTAATGATCTATCTAATGTTTTAATTGCACCTTATTATAAATACACAGTAACTACCTCTTAACTAAAGAGCCCACTGTTTAAAAGGGAGATTTAATGAATGCTAGGACAGATTTTTGCAGAAGCTTTATTAGGGGAAAACCACTGACTCCAGACCTTACTTTTTTTCCTTTGTTTGAGGTTAGATATTGTGTCTGCAATAGACCAATGTATTCACTGGAAATCCAGTCAGGGAAGACAGATGAGACCGCAATAACAACCAGGATGATTCGATTTTCTGATGCTGAAAATTGAACTATTGCAAAAATACCCCTTTCTTTAATTTCAGACTTAACATCACATTCTCTGTGCGCAAAACTCAACTCTTGAAAGTTATCTTAGACATCAATCAATCAATGTTTATTTATATAGCCCAATATCACAAATGTTACATTTGTCTCAGTGGTCTTCACAGTGTGTACAGAATATCAGTATGCCAATGCGACACCCTCTGTCCTAAGACCCTCTGTCCTTACACCCTCTGTCCTTAGACCCTCACATCGTACAAGGAAAAACTTCCAGAGAAAACCCACAGCTTAAAGGGAAAAATGGGAGAAACCTCAGGGAGAGCAACAGAGGAGGGATCCCTCTCCCAGGACAGACAGACGTGCAATAGATGCCGTGTGTAAATCGAAGAGATAATACATTTGCAACATAGGTAGTCCAAATGTTTGTATAATAGACATGATGTCAAAGGTCAGGTCAGACTTGGATTTGTAAAATGGATCACATGTTGTAGATAGGCACGAGGCTCTTCAGGTTAAAAGATAATTTAAACATAGAAAATATATTTTATTGTTGACTTATACGAAAAACACACCCAAAAGTAAACAAACTTGTTTTCCATAGTCAAAAAAGCATGAGACCACTAATGACAGTGAAGTAATAATAGCTGGTTGCCAGATGATTGGAATGAGAGTGAGAAAACAGTTTGTCCCAGTTTGGTTTCCCTTCAGACGGACTGGCAGCCAGTCAGTTCTGCCTGAGTGTAACTGGATATGCTGCGGCTTCCCTGGTGGAGCAGGCTCTCATCCATCCATCGCTGAGAGCAGAGTCTCAGCCAGCGCTTAAAACCACCACCACATATCAAAAAGCACCATAGTAAACATGGTATCTTCCCCTGTTGCTCACTTTTGCCGCTCCCTCCTGGTGTTTTGTGTCAAAACAACCGATTGTATGTGATCAATAAGGCTGCTATAAAATGCTTGCTGCATTGAATTAGAGGCAGGCAGGATGTTCAGCGTATTGACTTAGAAAGACATTTGTTTAATGTAGCGAAGAGGAGAGGGACAAGATCATTTGAGTCAGTCTTTATCCAGACACCTGAACACCTTGTGCATGCCAAGAAAAAGAGGCTGCAGGGTCTTATAAACAGGAAGTGGTAGTGCAGCTTCATTATGCTTGTGCTAATAGCTAATGCAGCTTCAAAGACAGTGGAAACAAATTATCTGGGTTGCACAGCTAGCATGTACATGCCGCGGAATAGAGGCTCACCAACAATCTGAAGACAATTAGGGCTTCGGGTTGATTTTGTGTTTTGCTTTCACACGTGTCCTGTCATTCCATATTTGGAGAGGTTAAGGAACAGTGTGTTCATGAATAACTGAGTGCATGTGGCTTTTTATTTAAAACTGTCATGTTGGAGCCCCATCAGGAAAATGGGACGTAGTTGGCAACGCCTTGTCCCCTTCAGTTAACTCTGAAATTAAAGTTGTTTTTGAGGTCATAGTCTTATATCTTATATAGGTCCACACTATTTTGGTAGTACTATTCTTACCACACTATAACATTTAAACACAACACTTCAAACCATATTTTCTTAATCATATAAGTCCATTTTCAACATGTTTTGCTCAGTATCCTCAATCAAACATTGATCTCAACCCTGGTAAAAAGCTCACTAGCTAGTAGCTAATGTACAAGAGGTGTTCACATTCATTCATTTGTTAACGTCTGAAGACATGCACCCATTTCTGGCTACTGCCGGATTTTCTCGAAAGCAAAAAAACAGAAGATCTGACTTCACATTAAGTTAAATATTAAACGTGTGGGAGGAGCCCTAGGTGTGGAAATAAACTCTAGATTGGAGTTTACTTGAAACCAGGCTGCCAAGAGAGGAGTTTTTGTTGGATTACTAGTGTTATGCAATGAAAACAAATAGAACATCTGTGTCGGATGGAAATTCAGGGGTTGTGCTGGGATAAGCCAGCCCTGCCTTAATGTGGTTGGGATCGCATGCAGGGGAATAATTTGGTCTGACTGCTTTTCATGGAGACATACACAACTTGTGTGTCCTTTTGAATGTCGGTGTATTTATCATGTCAACATTAAAGCAAGAGCTGAGTGAAACAAATGTCAGACTTGAGCCATTGACTATACTCTAATGCAATGTCGTGCATTGCACATTTCCTCTAATGTTAACAAGTTGCTCGGCTTTTTCCAAATAACCCTGTCAATAGAATTGTTTATGACACATGGTTTTATAACATGAAAAAGGGGCCATGATTACTTGCTCAAATAACTAAACTTATAGCTTCAGGGTCACAGCATGTTACACAACTTAAAAACAAGACTTAATTGATTCTTTAACACTACTTATTGTATCTGCTGACAGGGCAATGTGACCTCTTTAAAGTCAGAGACCTCTTAAGAAGAGAGGGTTAACGAACAAAACACAATGCACAAGTTCATGCAAGGGTTCGTTTCAGCACAGCCAGATTTATTTATTTATTGCTGCCTGTTTATGACTTCTTCACCCATTTGATGTTTAGCGGACACAATCCTTGCCTCTGTAACCTGCTCAGACAAACAAAGCTGCACAGACACATTGTTTCACCACAGAACGAAGATGGATATGCCTTGAATCTTAATCACACTTATCCTAGGCTAAGCCTTCGTGTATCTGATGTGGCTGTGTATTTTACATGTTTTATTCTATTTTTCCACATGATAGGCCTAACAGGATCCTCGAAGTTGTCAACATTAGTGTTACGGTTGCTGTTTATTAATCTGCCTGTGAGTGTTTTCAGCTGTCTGTGTGATTATGTAGATTATGTAAATGCGCTGTGTGGTTGCCCCAACGTCATTGGCTGTCATCTCCTGGTCCCCTTCCGAGGACACTGATTGGAGCACGCCGGGCCCGACGTTCTCCAATCCCTGTGCAAGCCCAGCGCACACCTGCTGGAGAGGACTACAAAGCCTGGGAACAATTATCACTCAGGAGGCTCTGTGTTGTGAGACAGACCCCTCTAGCCTCCTGTTGTGCTTACTTGTTGTGCTCGTTTATCCATTGAATGTTCTGTGTTTTGTTATACTGCATAGCAGCGCGTTAAAGCAGCTGTTCTGTGTCTAGTGTTGTGTGAGTAGTAGCCAAGTTAGCTTATCGGTTAGCGCCGGTGAATTAGCATCAGCTGCGTTTTGTTACAACCTTTTTCAGTTCATGTACCACGTTTTAGTGAGGTTTTTGTTTCTATTTTGTACTGATTATTACTGTGTATAATCTGGTAAACTCTCTTTTGGAGTCTCTTTATTTTGGTTGTTGTCAACCAGCATTTGGCCCTTTGTTTGTGCCAAGCTTGCCTTATTATTTTGTTTCACGACTAATAGTTATAATAAAGCCACTTATAACTTTTACCAATTCCACTCTGGTTTGTGTTGCTTCCCTTTGATTCCCCTAGTTCGGAAGGGAACGTAATAATTAGACATGAGGTTAGAACAGTGGCGGTTCTAGAACATTTTACATGGGGGGGCAAAGGGGAGGCAAGAGGTCATGCCAGGGTGGCATAGGAGGGCGGACAGTACGTGGTATGTTATACTGTATATAACCTATTTATTGTTAATTCATGCCCTAACACAAGTGTTCTTAATGCACAAGAGAAACAAGGTGTTCAGACAAACAATCGGGTGCCCTTTGAGTCCCCCAAGCTTACCTCAACCATTTTAAATGAAAGGAAACTACAAAATGTATTTTAAAGCAATGAATTAATGGAACAGGTTGTTTTGCATTACAATGTCAAATTAAATATATATTTTGTTTTAAAAAAAATTGGTTGTCTTAGACAGACATATTTGCATGTCCTCACTAAGCATTATTACATATTAATTGAATATTAAACAAATCAAAATGGCCAATTATCCCAAAATGTTGCTGCTAATATAATCACATGCTTGTCAACTTTAACTGATCAAAAATCAATTCTGAAAAAATACTTGAATTATCTATGAAATTGCAATATTGTCCCTCAGCTTGTTTCAACCCCATCACACCATACCATTTACCCTCCTATTAAAATAATGGATCAGTCCATGTGTGATCTGCATTGAGGGAATTACATCACAAAAGTGTCAGTTTCTTCTCTTACCTATATTTCAGATTAAGATTGACAAGCTCAACATTTCAACTATGTTGTATGAATTAATAATAGTAAATAATTGTTTATTACAAAAATAAACAATAGTTTTGCAAAATATTACAATTTTGTAATGTCCCTGACTTCCATGTGGTGCCATATCTTAGCTAAACAAGGTCTCATGCCTACTTTTTGTCAAAACTTCAACTCTGTTACATTTTTTCAAGGAAATTCCTAGTAATTATTTATATTTTGTGCCTGAGGTGGGAACATGTAAGTAGTCCACTACCAGATGTTATGACCAAACATTTTGGTTTCATTTTTCAAAGATATAAAGACCCAAAAGGCACCCGATTCAGAGAATACCCAGAATTCTGCATACTGTAAGTACTTAATTATAATTAAGTACACAAATGACATCACCCATCTCTTCAGAGAGCTACAGGTGACCTGTGCAGCACATTTCAATATTAGTCAATACTAAGAGCTGCTAGATT